GATGAATTAGGGTGTATTTTCTTAAGCTCTTTTTTTTTTTTTTTTTTTTTTTTTTTTTTTTTTTTTGTACTTGAAGCAGAGTAAAAAGAACAGTCTGAAACAGGTTGTTCTATTTTTTCTGTAAAGACAAGAAACATTTTGTGTTATAGAATACTAGGAAAAAAGTAGGTTCCTCATGGGACAAGGATTTTTTTTTCTCCACTGTAAAAAAGGTTTAAAATCACAAGCATAAAGGTTACGTAAGTGACACTGCATTTGTTAGACATTTTTATTTTTTTTTTTTAATTTTTTTTTTCAACGTTTATTTATTTTTGGGACAGAGAGAGACAGAGCATGAACGGGGGAGGGGCAGAGAGAGAGGGAGACACAGAATCGGAAACAGGCTCCAGGCTCTGAGCCATCAGCCCAGAGCCTGATGCGGGGCTCGAACTCCCGGACCGCGAGATCGTGACCTGGCTGAAGTCGGACGCTTAACCGACTGCGCCACCCAGGCGCCCCTTGTTAGACATTTTTAACGTGCAGTTAAAGTGGGAATGATTTTGTGTTTCTCCTTTCTGCAGTGTGGCATTTTGTAATATTTAATTTTTGCCATAAAATATTTTTATGATTTCTATGTTGTAACCTGGTGGGATTTATTCTGTGTATTGTATTATTTTCTGTGACTTTGTCATATAAAAAATGGTAGTATGTCTATAATGCCTCTTAAGGAAAAAAAGGACAAAAAGAAAGAAACCTATTTTTTGAAACTCTGTTGAGTTTTGAAAGCACATCTTGAAATCCTTATGAGTACAAAAATAATAGCATCCACAGCCACGTATTTGATACACCGTAAAATCCATGATTTCTCATGATAGAAGGACACTAGACATTCCAAAGATATTTCAAAATCTGTCCTTTGGAACATAATAAAACTAAAAAAAATGAGTAGTAAGTATTCCTATTCCTACACGGTCTGTGTGCTTCCTCCCCTTACCGCCTGCTCTGTCACTGCCTTAAGTTGGCAAGACTCTTTGTTTACCATTCATGGACATCTTTTTCCCTTCCCGGTTTTTCCTTTCAAATTATTTATCATTTAATATGAAAGATACAATAAAACATACAAGAATATTTTCTTTTTATTTTAACGTCTATGCACTTTTATATTCAAACAAATTATGGGATTATTTGCTCTTAAAATCAATTCACTAGAAATTCATTGAAGATTTACTGTCTGCCAGAAACTTGCTAGAGAGAGGACAGGGCTTGGCAGTGAGTACGGACATATGGGTGGATATGTAAATGCATAAGACATGATCCCCTCTACTAATCTGGGAGCAAACCATGTGCATTTGTTCATACTATCCCTCTTACTGGAATGCCATTCTCCTGTTGTTAAACCATTAACATCTTCACATTTTTCAGTTGCTTCCTTCATGAATCCCTTTCCAAATTTCATAATCAAAGTTCACCATCCCTATATACTCTCAAGGGTCACCCTACTAATCTCCAATATGTGCTCACTTTGCTTTTTTGTTGTTACTGCTTTCATGTCTGATCATAGCTACTCAATTTAAGTTAATTAAAATGAATAATGTGACAAATTCAGGTCTTTGCCTGCACCAGTAAATTTTTGTTCAATATATACATTGGTCTTTAATTTCATAGGTCTTTGTTCATAGGAAGAATGGAAGGGTGAGAGGGTTAGCCTTGTACAGGGGAGGGAGCATGGCCTTTGTTTGGACTTGGCCACTGGCTGACAGTGTGGTCTTAGGCAGATAACAGCTCAAAATGTGTTCACTTATTCTAAGATGGGGCCACTGATCTTTACCACATAAATTTGTTATAAAAAAATAGGCAGTGAGGCATGAAGCACCTGTCTGGTATGCCCAGCACTTACCCTGTAAATACGGAGTTCGGGGGGCGCCTGGGTGGCGCAGTCGGTTAAGCGTCCGACTTCAGCCAGGTCACGATCTCGCGGTCCGGGAGTTCGAGCCCCGCGTCAGGCTCTGGGCTGATGGCTCGGAGCCTGGAGCCTGTTTCCGATTCTGTGTCTCCCTCTCTCTCTGCCCCTCCCCCGTTCATGCTCTGTCTCTCTCTGTCCCAAAAATAAATAAACGTTGAAAAAAAAAAATTTTTTAAAAAAATAAATACGGAGTTCGGAATGTGCCAGTATCCTTCCATATGAACCCATCAGTATCTTTTACTACCTTATTTAGCCAAATCTAACCTGAGATTCTGTGCTTGTGGGTTTTTTTTTAATGAATGATGTTTTTTGTTACCATTGCCTCTCTATAGATCTTTTCTCTCTTATCCATGACTATTTGTTAGCAACAATTACAAACCGAGACGAAGAAAACATTTTAATGGGGTTTTAAGACAGAGGTAACCTATGCCATTTAGCTTGAGTGTAGCTTAAAAGTAACATACAACTTTCAAAGTAAAAAGGGATTTTAGCATATTACATAGCCCTTGAAATACCAGGAATGGCAGTGTTTTGTTTGACTGAGCTGGCCCAAAGATTTGTACTGCATAGTAATGTTTGTCATTCTAAGGACCTCAGCACATGGGTCTTGCCCACCTGAACACTGTTAAGACTTAGGAGGAGTAAATAATGTTCCTTTTCCTGGTGTGTTAAACAGCCCCATCCAATACACACACACACACATACACACGATCCGACTTTATTTCCAGGCGTTTGTTCATTTTGAACCTTCTTCCTTGATGTCTACTTCTTTAATCAACTGATTTGCTTTATATGATATAGGTTTGTAGAAGGAAGGAGATGATGTTTCTGAATTCCATGCTTAGACTGCCATTTGGTTAATTTCTTACCCAAACAAAGCCTTAAGTTTCTCATCTGTGTAATGGGAAATCAAAACACTTATGCTGTATGATTATTTTGTTTTCAAGTTTAAGTGAGAAATAGATGTTTAAAAAATTCTTGATATACTTTCTTAATAAATATTAATCTTCCTCTTCCTTACCTTTTTCACAGGTATGTTATAAGGATCCATGAATTAACATTCTGTATAGTGACAGGTGGAGAGTTTAGAATTTCAGTCAGAAATGGGTTCAGATATTGGCACTGCCCCTTACCAGCTATGTGACCCTGGGGTGTTATTTAATATCTATGAAAATAGTTTCTTAATTTGTAAATGGGAATAATAATTACTTGCAGTTGTTGCATATATATGTGAAATATATATGAATTGTTATGTTTGGGACCTGATGTCTACCAAACATTACTAAGGTGTATTAAAATACTTTATTCCAGTTATTTGTGGTCTCAATTCCATTCAGCTTCTCCCAAGATGTCTTCTAACTAGATTTTATTTGTTTAGAGATTCAGGGGCCAGATTTGACTCCTTACTGAACTTTGTAGAACCACCTAGAATAGTACCAAGTGCATTATGCCAAGGTTTATTCAATTTGAGGCTAGTAGAATAAATGTCTGAGATTTTTGACCTACCTACCTGATAACCACCACCCTTGGGATGGTCAGTAGGAGCAACAGGTTTGGGTAATGGCCGCTGAATCAAATTCATAGGTTTTCTAACTGTAATGCCACAATGATTATTTTATATGACTAGAATTCTATGAAGGGTTCTGTATTTGGTTCACATTTCTGTAATAATGATTAATTCTTCTGTACCTAGGCCATATCTACTGCATTACTTTAAAAGATGGCTGTGTGGCCTGCCATTGATGTTACATAATACATCTTGCTCCTTAATGATATACTATAACATATACTATATGCTCTTTAATGACTTCATTATGATTAGTTATAAGGAATAAAGTAATATAAAAAGAAGGGATAAAAGGAATGAACATGAGCAAAAGGAAAACGATCAGGTTGAGTAGATGTTGAATTCCATAAAAGACTGCCTTGGCCCTTTCTAACTTTCATATATTGGATCTATTTAGTCTTATTATTCGTGTTATAGTTTTTGTTGTTCCAAAATATTATCTTTGTAAAATCACTTATAAAATCACTATAGCTGTGATGTTCTTAAAATATACATTTTTTTAAATGTATTAATTATTTGGTAACTTAAAGAGTAATTTAAAAATATATTCTTGGCTAACTAGGAAAAATAATTTTGGACACCAAAATTTTAATGGCCTTAAAATAGAAATAAGACACACTGATAAATTTCCAGTGCTTTTCAAAATCTTAATTTTTTCCTTCAAGATTTGCTTATGCAGTAGTGATCTTTTTGATGTTTTATATAATCTATCCATTGATGCACTATTCCCATGAAGTAGGTCTTGACTTTTTATTAAAATTTATTAAAAATTTTTTTAAAAAAAATTTATTATGTTTTTATACAAACATAGAAAGTTGAATGGTTTGTCTCAGAATGTCAGAAAATATACAACAATCAGAATTGATTTTAGGGGTTAGGCCCTCCTTCCTGATTAATTATTTTGAGTCTTTTATATGGTCTTCTTTATGGAGAAATTTTGAAAAGTAAACATGGGTAAGGTCTAATTGCTGTATATTAATTTGCAGACCAAACGAGATGCCAACTTCTAGTTCTTGTTATTGTGTTTGTTTAATATTTCTCTGTAAATCACCAAGGCCTGATTTATCCAGTCTCAGCCAAATCAAATATGATCCCTACACTTTCCCATTTGTGTTTGAAGATATAGCAAAAGTACTCATTATTATAGTATTTATTGAAGTGAAAACTTGTATATGGTTGTACGAATGCCTAATAGAGTTGAAATAAAGGCCGTGAAATTCCAGAGTAGTTGGAAATATTGATGTATTCTTCCCAACCATGTATTTGTGGCCTTTGTTTAAGGGCTAAAAATCTTGGTTTAGTCCCATAGTAAAGAATTAATTAAAAGTTTTAGGATTTATCAATTGCTCCTAAGTAAGACATATGAAAAGCACTTTCCAGATAAATGCTATGGAAAGTTAACAAGAAAAAGAGGCTATTTTCTCATACTATGTCCCCTGATTTCCATTTCATTTTCACCTTCTTTTTTTTTTTTTTTTAATTTAATTTCAGAGGGCTGCTGAAGTATCAAACTAATTTAGATACCCACCCTCCTGGCTGCATCAATCTTAATGGAACCCACTACCAGAATATTCATTTACAAGATTATCTCTCAGAACATTTTCGTGAATCTTTTCCTGAAGGATTTGCAAAGCCAGATGAACTTACCCAAAAGAGATTTGTGAAGATTTGTATGGAAGAGCCCAGGTTCCAAGCTAATTTTCCACAGGTCAGATTGATTTTGTATCTTTGATGGTCTCTGCAAAGTCCATATTTCCATAATTATTGACCAACATTACATTTAAACATGTTTTTGGAGGTATATAAAACAATTGTTCTTGTAGAAAAGAACATTCTAGGATGTTTCAACAGCAAGAGAGCACCTGTTTTTCCATTATAGGTAGCTGGTGTTCAAGGAGAAAACCCTATGATATTATAGTCTATGGAAAATTCCTACTTAACTGACCATGTAATCTTTGCATACTGTGGCACTGGTGCTTGCCCTATCCGTTGAGAAAAATAGGCTGAATAATAAAAACAATAGTGAAAGAACTAACACTAATAGTAATTATTATTATGGTATAGAATAATGTTACGGTACGATATTATGTATAATACTATAAATAATAAATTGTAAAGTCAATTTGTTGAATGCTTAGTATCATCTGTTATGTATTGTGCTAAAATGTACTGTATGCATAATTTCTTTTAATGTTCACAATAGCTCTTTGAAGCCATTACCATCATCCTTAATTTTCTGATGATAAAATTGTGGCTTAAATACATAAAATACCTTCAGCAAACTCTGCAACCTACTACATGACAGAAGTAGAGTAGAAAACCAGGTCTTTGACCAAAATGTTTACTCTTAGAAAATATTCTTACCCAAATACCCAGTGAGTAGTTCAGCAAGGGCCCTGATCTTCCCATGTGGCTATGGGAGCTGTCCACATGGGAATTAACACCCTGTACTCTTTGCCTATAGCAGGTGGAAGTATGGGACAGTATGTCAAATGTCTGTTTTCAGAAGAGAAAAAGGAGTCGAAAAGTAGAGTGAATTTGTAGATGACTTTGGAATAAGTATATTAGTCTTATGTTTATTGTCAGTAACAATCCTCTAGATTTCTAATAGACTTTGCAGTTTTCAGAATTTTCCGGGCTTCACACAATGCTATGTGTTAGGCAAGGCAGGTATTGTGACTCCCATTGTACTTAATGGCACTTGATGCTCAAAGGGTAAGTGACCACCTCAGAGTTGCCAGCCTGCTGCACTGCAGAGCTTGTCTTGTGATGTCCGCTACTCACAGAGTAGCAAACAAAATATTAGGAAGAGGCATGATCTGTCTGCAAGGAAGGAGGAAGGTCTGAAATAGCTATGTAAGTAAGATTTAAAAAAGTAACCATTAAAATAAGTTTGGATCAGAGGTCTCCAAGTGATGAGGGAAATAAAGTGTGCAGTTCTAGAGGAAGGGTTGACCACACAGGCTTCCGTACTTCTGAGAGCATGCAGCTAGTTATCCTGGGATCTGGGATATCTATACAGCACACATGTGAAATTGTCACACTGCCCAAATTCTATATGTTATCTTCTGCTCCTATTACTTTTATTATGTAAAAGTTGTAAGCAGCATGCGTAGTATGTCCTATATTTTAAAATCTGTGCATAAACATATTTTGCATTGTATAAACGTGGAACAGATAGTAGCTGTACTTATCGTGAACATAGTATAATGTGTAAACTTGCCATATCACTAAGTTGTATACCTGAAACTAATGTAACATTGTGTGTCAACTACACTCAAATAAAAAATAAATAGATAAAAGTATTTAAAAAATACTCTAAATAAACTTACCTGACATTCTGAAGAATTCCAACTGCTCCTGCAAACTAAAACATTTTAATACCTTAAAAATAGAAAGAAAAATACATATATATCCAGGATTTTCTTTTTTTTAAACAGATATTGGAGTGGTACAATTTTTTCTGAAATCATTTTCAAATTGATTTGAGCACTTAATTTCCCTTCTCTCTTTAGATAAAATACTGTATATGCATGCATTATGTGTTTATGGTATACATAGAGGGACATATGAAACAATGTATGCATACCTGTTAATATGGCACATCGGTTCCCCTTTTATTTTTCATTATTTATTTATTTATTTATTTATTTATTTAAAAAAAATTTTTTTTAACGTTTATTTATTTTTGGGATAGAGAGAGACAGAGCATGAACAAGGGAGGGGCAGAGAGAGAGGGAGACACAGAATCGGAAACAGGCTCCAGGCTCTGAGCCATCAGCGCAGAGCCCGACGCGGGGCTCGAACTCACGGACCGCGAGATCGTGACCTGGCTGAAGCCGGACGCTCAACCGACTGCGCCACCCAGGCGCCCCCATTTATTTATTTTTAAAGTTTATTAGAGAGAGAGAGAGAGAGAGAGAGTGGAAGAGGGGAAGAGAAAGGGAGAGAGAGAGGATACCAAGTAGGCTTCGCACTGTCAGCATGGAGCCCACTGTGGCACTTGAATTCACGAACTGTGAGATCATGACCTGAGCCGAAATCAAGAGTCAGATGTGTAACTGACCGAGTCACCCAGGTGCTCCTCCCTTTTGATTTCATACTTTAGTCTTGTGTGAATAAGTTGCAGTGAGCATCTTATTTTTCATTCATTTTTCTTTACATTTTATCATTCAAAATATAGATTAAAATTTCATTACTGTAATGTATGATGTAAACAATTGAGCAGGAGATAAGGATTCCTACAATACAAGTATTTCTTAAAGTATATTTCAAAAATTCTCCACTAGACTTGGCTTTGGATTTCTGGACCTTTGTGCCTGTATTGTGCTGAAAGACTTTACAGGTGTATCCGGAGCAATAAGCCAGTCACCATCATCTCGGTCATACGTCATCCCTCAGATGTCATGGAAATCCGAATGGTCAAAGAAAATTTTAAAGCGAGACCTGGCCAGGTGAGTCAGTGTTTAGTAACTTTTAAATTCCCTTTATCTTTATATAAGTTTTGAAAATCAGCATTCATGCCATCACTGGAATGCTTGAACTTCTCTTTTGGTCACTTAGAAACTATGTTTGTTGTTTTTTAGTATATCATTCTACATTGTCCCAGTGTGTCTGCGTTAGAAAACCATCCATTTACCCTCACAATGGTAAGAAACTTGTTTTTGATTTTAAGAATTTTTTTTAGAGTGAAATGTGTGTTTCTTTTGTGTGTGTATATTCCACGTCATTCTAAAAATCATGCAAGGCTATCACAATATCCTACATGTCTAACTAAGCCTTTTTTTTTTTTTATCCAAAAAATATCTGTTCAGAAACTTTGTAGCTATTTATTATTTTCTGAGAGTTTACAATCCAGGAAGCAATACATTTAAATGTATTAAAGCTTATTGATTCAAAATACAGAAAATTTCCTGGCTATTTACATTTTTCCCATTATGAACTGTGTATCCAAATATAATATGTATGGTTTTCTTTAGAGAGGTTGAATTTAATAATAAAGAGGGTACTCCGAGTTGAGTGGAAGCCTAAGAAAATCCAAGCAGTGTTTAGAAAAGAAAAAGTCCAGTGTAATTGGAGCCCAGGCTGTGTGTTGGGAGGGAAAGGAAAACCAAGTTAGAGAAATAAAATGGAATAAATAATGGGTAGGGGGAAGATCTGGCTAAGTAATGACTTCATCAGATATTTTTAGCCTGTCAGCACATTGTTTAACATTCTTTTCTGCATTATAAATATAACATGAGTCTATTATCAAAAAGTAAACAATTCACAAATAGATGAGATAAAATGGGAACTTTTCCTCATTCCCCCCCACTTTTCAATCCTTTCTTCCAGAATCTGGCATATATTCTTACAGACATTTTCCTGTAGAGTTAGGCATATATAGATGTTTGATATCTGTTTGCTAGATCATTTGTTTTATAATTTGCTCTTTTCACTCAGCAGTATAACATGGCTGGAGAGCCTGGGTGGCTCAGTTTGTTAAGTGTCCAAGTATTGATTTCAGATCAGGTCATGATCTTACAGTTTATGGGATCTAGCCCCCCACTGGGCTCTGTGCTGACAGTGCAGAGCCTTCTTGGGATTCTCTCTCTCTCTCTCTCTCTCTCTCTCTGCCCCTCCCTCTCTCTCTCTTTCTCAAAATAAATAAACACAACAAAAGAAAACACAATATATCATGGACAGCTTTCTCTATGTTACTATATTTGTGTATGTCGCATTGTTTTTAATGACTGCATAATATTTCACAGTAAGAAAGTACTGTAATTAATTTAGTATTTCCAATTGATGATGGAAATTGAGATTTTTTTTTCAATTTCTAGCAAAAGTAACTAAGAACAGGACCCACATGTTTAAATATATGCTTAAGATATGCAAATAAAATTGAACAGATGTGGGGGGGTGGGCAGCAAAGTCACTGGTGCCTAAGTGCTGGGATGCAGGGGTAGGGTTGTACTGGGAATGGCAACCACTTTCAAATTTGATGTGTTATTTAAAAAAAATTTTTTTTAAAATTTTTTTAATGTTCATTTATTTTGGAGAAAGAGACAGAGCCTGACAGAGCAGGGGAGGGGCAGAGAGAGAGGGAGATACAGAATTGGAAGCAGGCTCCAAGCTCCAAGCTGACAGCACAGAGCCCGACGTGGGGCTCGAACTCATGAACTGTGAGATCGTGACCTGAGCCAAAGTCAGATGCCCAACCGACTGAGCCACCCAGGGGCCCCTTAAAATTTTTTTTAACGTATATTTATTTATTTTGAGAGAGAGAGAGAGAGAGAGAGAGAGAAAGAGCAGAGGAGGAGCAGAGAGAAAGAGAGAATCCCAAGCAGGCTTCCTTCTGTCAGCGCAGAGCCCCATACGGGATTCAGACTCACTAGCCATGAGATCATGATCTAAGCTGAAATCAAGAGTCTGACGCTTAACTGACTGAACCACCTAGGCACCCCTCAAATTTGATGTGTTATGTTGAAAACTTGGAAACCTTGGCCAAGTTATTCATTTTTCTGTGCATTTATTCCACCAGAGTAATATTGCCATATAAACACATTGTCTATTCCTAGGTATGTTGTGTGTTTAAATGATCTTCTACAAGTAAAGTATGTAGAACAAAGCCTGGAACATGGAAAGTGTCAGGTACATGTAAACGTATGCTAGCAATTATTATGATTTGTATTTTCATTGTGAGTTTGTCCCTTGAGAACATATCCTTGAAAGACAGCTAGGCCAGAAAAATCTATATTTAAAGGATAAAGGAAGCAGAAAGGAAGTGTCAAATGGTTAGAGAAAACACAGACATTTGCTCAATAGTATTTAATTGCTTCAAATTTCTCATTCTGTTTGTACATAGCAAACTTATTTATTAACGATTAAGGAAAGGTAGCTTGGGATCTAGTCCAGTGATTGACAATATCCCATTTTATCAAGAAAGATGGGAATGCTGGCCTACTTTGTGGCAGACATTAATTTACAGTTGTTTATTCAGTCTGGTGACACCCTTTCATCTGGTGCCATGTGGGCAGCTGGATAGAGTGAGAAGGGAAATATGTTGTTTTGAAGACCAGTGCAAACTTAGTTGTCCTCATGGGATTCAAAACCAGGACCACAGAGTCTAGGACCCAGCTGTTACTGGGAGCCATGGAGCCACATCATGGCCTTCACTCCTTTAGGATATGTATACCCTACAATGGGGTTAAATATTGCCCTTGTTCCATGAGACAGTAGGATGCTTGGCTAGTAAATGTGATGAAAAGACCTTCCCGTATGATGGTTTGGCTGAATCATGAAGCCATTTTCACACAATTGCATCCACCACACCATGTTTAGTTCTGGTAGTTGTGTGATGCATTTCCATGTCTCTGATTTCATACATCCCATAAACATGAAATTGGTAACAGTAATGAGAAAGGGAAGAATGGAAAAGGGAGAAAGTGCACACGTATGTTTGTCTCTATGTAAGTAGTTTAAAAAGTTTGGTCTACTCTTGGGGTCATACAAAATTTACTTCCAAAGTTAATATTGTGTTTGACTCTATTTTTTCCCCAGCTTTATAGATGTGTAATTGAAAAATGAGAAATTGTGTATATTTAAGGTATACAACATGAGGCTTTATTTTGAAAATAGTTTCTTCACCATAGCATTAAATAGAGAATATGGAATGAGAAAGGAAGATGGTTGCTGAATGTTAAATACAGAGAAGAGGGGTTTTTTACTTTTTTACAAAAATATTTCCCAACATACATAAAAGTAGAGAGAATGGTATAATCGACCTCCATGTTCTCATCATCCAGCTTCAATAAAAACAGAAAAGATAGTTTACATTGTATCACTGAAAATGTTTATGCTCTCTCAAAACAGAAAAGCCAAGAATTTTTCTCCTATGCTACATGCCTAGTAGAAGCTTCTACTACTCTCTTTTGGTTGTCCTAGGACCATTTCACAGGGCAAAAGGAGAAATTTAAAAGAGTGGCATGTAGGACATAAGGGCTTTTGGCAAGTGCCTCCAGTGGCCTAATCTGTTTCCCAAACAGGTGATGGGGAAAAAACTGTGATAGCCGTGGAGCTGGCTGCGGGCACAGGTAGTGATAGGAAAAATCTGTTATGAGATGGCCGACAGAACTGATAGGGAAATTCCGGTCCCTCCCGAAGACTCCCCTCCAGCTTCTTCTGCCTACCCCGCTTGCCACGTGTGCCAAGTTACTACTAATGTGGAATGTGGAAGTAACAGACGGTAAATGGTTCCTTCTGCTTACGCTCTGGGCTCAGACCTCTGGAGAGTGATCTCTGAGCCTGCAGGTGTGAAATAAACCTCCTGCCTTCCAAGATCTCCGAGTGCCAGAGTGCCACTTGGTTCTTCCTGCGGGTAATCCAGACCAGGTTCTGTAACAGTCGGAGGGAAGGAAGAGGGGGCCAGGCGAAAGACAGAAGAACTGAAAGTAGGAGGGAGAGTTGAGAAAGGGATTAAATGTGATGTGAAAGGGTAGTGGGTATTCACACTAAGAACATGAAGTTGATGATTCAACCCCAGCTCTGTTGCTTATGAGTTCTGTGCCGGGAGTGTATCTGTGATGGGGGTCAGTACTTGGTAACTATACTATTATTTTTTTTCATAATCTCAAAATGTTTCCTTTTAATTTGGATTATTGCCTTCACTTTTGCAATTATGGTATATTGTTTTTTCTTTTTGTTGTTGTTGTTGAGGAGCAGGGATAGGACATCAACATGTGGTTTTTCAATCTGAAAATGAGAAATTTGGGGGATATGACAGTAGTCTCAGCATTTGAAAATCTGTCATGTAGATGAAGAATTAGATGTTTTTCCTCTGGGATTCTAAGGTGTACAAATAGCTAAAAAGTTTTAGAGAAATAAATTTTGATTCAATATGATAAAACATTTCTAACAGTGAGACACCAGTCCAGAACCTTAGAAAGCTGTCTCCCCAGGATGTTTAGAAGGATGTTTGTGCTAGATCAGGACTTTTCAACCTCAGCATTATTGACATTTTGGGTTAGATAATTCTTTGATGTGGCATGTTGTCCTGAACATTATAAGATGTTTACCAACATCCTTAGCCTCTGCCAACTAGAATGTACTTATGGCAAAGGTGCTTGGAGGAGATACACTAAAGGCAAAGGGAAACAATCGATGGAAAACATCTGGTCAGAAACAACAAGTCCTTTTTCACCTCCCGTCCCCCACTCCCTGGGCTCACAGTGGAAAAATTCCTTGTTCCTAATTTCTGTGCTTATCTGACAAATCCTATCAGTATTTCTTAGGTTCGACTAGCAACCCATACATTGAAATAGGTCTTTGTTTTGCAAGTTTAGGTTTTGTATTCAAATTTGTTCTTATTTTAAGTATATATATATATATATATATATATATATATATATTTGTATATCTCTATCTCATAGTTTAAATGGTAACAATGGTTGGCTTCCAAAAAAAATTAAGGCAAAGGAAATTCTTTTCATCCAGACCATCTGTTTGTGTTACTTATTAACTAGTGGAACTTAGGAAATGGTTTGTAGCCTTCCCAGATTTCGGGGGGTTACTGGCGGACTCAACTCCTACTATCCCCCAAGGGAGTTTCTATTTTCATAAGAGGGAAAAGAGGCAAATCTTGCTGCTGCCTAGAAATGAATTTGAGTAA